GGATAATGATCAGTTATATACCACACACAGGATAATGATAAGTTATATACCACACAGGATAATGATCAGTTATATACCACACACAGGATAATGATCAGTTATATACCACACACAGGATAATGATCAGTTATATACCACACAGGATAATGATAAGTTATATACCACACACAGGATAATGATCAGTTATATACCACACACAGGATAATGATCAGTTATATACCACACACAGGATAATGATCAGTTATATACCACACACAGGATAATGATCAGTTATATACCACACACAGGATAATGATAAGTTATATACCACACACAGGATAATGATCAGTTATATACCACACACTGGATAATGATCAGTTATATACCACACACAGGATAATGATCAGTTATATACCACACAGAATAATGATCAGTTATATACCACACACTGGATAATGATGTTAAGGTGTTATATCAACATAAACAATCACACTAAGGTGTTATCGTTACATAAACAATAACACTAAGTTGTTATTGTGACATATACAATCACACTAAGGTTTTATTGTTATATAAACAATCACACTAAGGTGTTATATTAAAATAAACAATCACACTAAGGTGTTAACGTTATATAAACAATCACACTAGGATGTTATTGTAACATATACAATCACACTAAGGTGTTATCCTAACATAAACAATCACACCGTTATATAAACAACCACACTAAGATATTATCGTAACATATACAATCACACTAAGGTGTTATCGTAACATAAACAACCACACTAAGGTTTTATCGTTATATAAACACTCATACTAAGGTGTTATCGTTATATAAACTATTACACTAAGGTGTTATCGTAACATAAACAATCACACGAAAGCGTTATCGTAACATAAACAATCACACCAATGTGTTATCGTTATATAAACAACCACACTAAGGTGTTATCGTAACATAAACAATCACACTAATGTGCTATGGTAACATAAACAACCACACTAAGGTTTTATCGTTATATAAACAATCACAGTAAGGAGTTATCGTAACATTAACAATCACACTAAGGTGTAATCGTAACATAAACAATCACACTAAGGTAATATCGTAACATAAACAATCACACTAAGGTGTAATCGTAACATAAACAATCACACTAAGGTGTTATCGTAACATATACAATCACACTAAGGTGTAATCGTAACATAAACAACAACATTAAGGTTTTATCGTAACATAAACAATCACACTAAGGTGTTATCGAAACATAAACAATCACACTAAGGTGTTATGGTAACATATACAATCACACTAAGGTGTTATCGTAACATAAACAATCACACTAAGGTGTTATCGTAACATAAACAATCACACTAAGGTGTAATCGTAACATAAACAATCACACTAAGGAGTTATCGTAACATAAACAATAACACTAAGGTGTAATCGTAACATAAACAATCACACTAAGGTAATATCGTAACATAAACAATCACACTAAGGTAATATCGTAACATAAACAATCACACTAAGGTGTAATCGTAACATAAACAATCACACTAAGGTGTAATCGTAACATAAACAATCACACTAAGGTGTAATCGTAACATAAACAATCACACTAAGGTAATACCGTAACATAAACAATCACACTAAGGTGTAATCGTAACATAAACAATCACACTAAGGTGTTATCGTAACATAAACAATCACACTAAGGTGTAATCGTAACATATACAATCACACTAAGGTGTAATCGTAACATAAACAATCACACTAAGGTGTAATCGTAACATAAACAATCACACTAAGGTGTAATCGTAACATATACAATCACACTAAGGTGTAATCGTAACATAAACAATCACACTAAGGTGTTATCGTAACATAAACAACCACACTAAGGTTTCATCGTTATATAAACAATCACACTAAGGTGTTATCGTAACATAAACAATCACACTAAGGTGTAATCGTAACATAAACAATCACACTAAGGTGTTATCGTAACATAAACAACCACACTAAGATATTATCGTAACATAAACAATCACACTAAGGAGTTATCGTAACATAAACAATAACACTAAGGTGTTATCACTATATAAACAATAACGCTAATGTGTTATTGTAATATAAACAAGCACACTAAGGTGTTATGGTAACATAAACACTCATACTAAGGTGTTATCGTAAAATAAACAATCACACTAAGGTGTTATCGTTATATAACCAATCACACTAAGGTAACAAAACAATCACACCAATGTTATCGTAAAATAAACAATCACACTAAGGTGTTATCGTTATATAACCAATCACACTAGGGTGTTATGGTAACATTATACAATCACACTAATGTGTTATCGAAACATAAACAATCACACTAAGGTATTATGGTAACATATGCAATCACACTGAGGTGTTATCGTAACATCAACAACCAAACTATGATGTTATCGTAACATAAAGGTTATATAAACAATCACACTAAGGTGTTATCGTAACATAAACAATCATAACGTTATATAAAATATCACACTAAGGTGTAATCGCTATATAAACCATCACACTAGGGAGTTATGGTAACATATACAATCACACTGAGGTGTTATCGTAACATCAACAACCAAACTATCGTGTTATCGTAACATAAACGTTATATAAACAATCACACTAAGGTGTTATCGTAACATAAACAATCATAACGTTATATAAAATATCACACTAAGGTTTTATCGTTATATAAACAATCACAGTAAGGTGTTATGGTAACATATGCAATCACACTGAGGTGTTATCGTAACATCAACAACCAAACTATCGTGTTATCGTAACATAAACGTTATATAAACAATCACACTAAGGTGTTATCGTAACATAAACAATCATAACGTTATATAAAATATCACACTAAGGTGTAATCGCTATATAAACAATCACACTAAGGTTTTATCGTAACATAAACAATCACACTAAGGTGTTATCGTAACATAAACAACCACATTAAGGTTTTATCGTTATATAAACAATCACACTAAGGTGTTATCGTAACATAAACAATCATAACGTTATATAAAATATCACACTAAGGTGTAATCGTAACATATATAAACCATCACAGTAAGGTGTTATGGTAACATATGCAATCACACTGAGGTGTTATCGTAACATCAACAACCAAACTATCGTGTTATCGTAACATAAACGTTATATAAACAATCATACTAAGATGTTATCGTTATATAAACCATTACACTAAGGTGTTATGGTAACATATACAATCACACTAAGGTGTTATCGTAACATAAACAATCACACTAAGGTGTAATCGTAACAGAAAAAATCACAATTAATTGTTATCGTAACATAAACAATCACACTAAGGAGTTATCGTAACATAAACAATAACACTAAGGTGTTATCACTATATAAACAATAACGCTAATGTGTTATTGTAATATAAACAATCACACTAAGGTGTTATCGTAACATAAACAATCACACCAATGTGCTATCCTAACATAAACAATAACACTAAGGTGTTATCACTATATAAACAATAACGCTAATGTGTTATTGTAATATAAACAATCACACTAAGGTGTTATCCTAACATAAACAATCACACCAAAGTGTTATCGGTATATAAACAACCACACTAAGGTGTTATCGAAACATAAACAATCACACTAAGGTGTTATCGTAACATAAACAAATACACTAAGGAGTTATCGTAACATAAACAATAACACTAAGGTGTTATCACTATATAAACAATAACGCTAATGTGTTATTGTAATATAAACAATCACACTAAGGTGTTATCGTAACATAAACAATCACACTAAGGTGTTATGGTAACATATACAACCAAACAGAGGTGTTATCGTAATATAAACAATCACACTAATGTGTTATCGTAACATAAACAACCATAACATTATATAAACTATCGTACTAATGTGTTATCGTAACATAAACACTCATACTAAGGTGTTATCGTAACATAAACAATCACACTAAGGTGTTATCGTAACATAAACAAACACACTAAGGTGTTATCGTAATATTAACAATCACACTAAGGTGTTATGGTAACATATGCAATCACACTGAGGTGTTATCGTAACATCAACAACCAAACTATGGTGTTATCGTAACATAAACGTTATATAAACAATCACACTAAGGTGTTATCGTAACATAAACAATCACACTAATGTGTTATCGTAACATAAACAATCATACTAATGTGTTATCGTTATATAGAAAAAGCATTCAAATATATATTTAATTGCAAATGAAATGTAGTACCACCTACAATGTAGATAATGATGAACGATAACAAATTACAAGTACGGACTATACCAGATTATGTTGATAACATAATTAATAGCATCTGATTTCAAAGACCGGTAAAACATGGTGGGTGATATAGGTGAAATGATAACTATAATACTATATATCTGTACACCGGACATTGGTGTCGACGACCCTTAAATATCCATTTTGAAATATCATTATTGAGAATTAGGTATTGGTTTTTGAAATCTGTTTCAGCCAGCGTGCGCAGCGTTACGGTGTTTTCTTGGACCTCATTCTGTGTTACACCACACAGAAGCAGACAACTGATTATTACTGTAATCGGTATGCTGGGTTTTCATTTACTGAGTACATACTCGAACCTTCATCCCTATGATGGCGATACTACATGGCTTCTAAGTTTGTATAAAGTACATGTGAACAGCTAGGCTGTGTGTTAGGACGCTGTGTGCTCTGCGATCCCGCCCTTATCAATGAAGACAGTTCTAGTGGCCTTAGCCATAGAGCCGGTATGGCAGTAACAGTGAGGGAAATACGAAAATCCCGATAGAGAGCTGAAGAGTAGAGCCACAAATACACACATTTCATTTTACTTAAATGAAACGACGATGCACACGGCCAACAAGTTGAGTGTATGATAGGCTGTAGAGTGGACCTTTAGGTTACGACAGACCACGTTATCCGCTCGTGAATATGAAGTCACCAGGAATACCGTTTATTTTGTCCTGTGTTGTGTTTTGGCACCATGTCATATTTGGAGAGTACCGCGAGTATGTGACAAGGCCAACCCTATACGGTACGATCCGGGGGGTCGTGACCAACCGCCTCGCGGGCGAGCACGTGGAACAATACTTGGGCGTGCCCTTCGCAGCCCCACCCAAACACAGCCTACGGTTTGAGGTATGTATGTCTGTAGCAATAGTAGTTCAATACGGTTACCGGTTGTCCATTTCACGAATGTTGTCAAACGCAGTAAAAGTTTGCAAATGCTATTTTACATTACAATTTATGTATAATGAAAAGTAAAGACATTAAGAAGTTTTCTTTAACCGATGAATGTCTGAACATTGCATTTTCAAACATCACATTATATCTCTGTGTTTTTGTGTAGCATTTTGGACAAATTATGAAAGAAACAAAACTTTGTAAACTGGGATCAAATACTTGACATCTATGGGTCTTTGCATCCTTCTATCGTGAATGATCTCGACCAGAGTTTTTTGTGGGTTTTAATATAGATAGCACTTGATAACAACTTCAAGTTACCTTTTTTGGTATTGCGCCTGAGCATTGCCAATTACAGAATTAGTTGTAAGCAATGCCAGTCTACTGCCATGATTACCTTAAGATAATTTCTGGTTATAACTGAAGGGTATGGTGAAGGAAGTACCCATGACACCATCAACTTAATAGTACTATTTCCTTCGTATATGTTTTAAAAGATCCAACAACTCTTCACAAAGCAATTCGACCAGAACTATGCAATGCTTTCGAAAACATAAAAAAAAAATCATTTATCCAGCTACACATTTATCCTGATTTTTCTTACTTCACAATGGACCAGTGCAAAATTTACTGGTTAGATTTTTTTTTTCTAATTTACCATTTTCGATGAAAGTTGAACTTTTATAATAAAATTACCAGATTGCATTGTAAACGAAAAGGACACGTGTAACAATGAAAGCCAGCATTGGTTTTAGTAATTTGAAAATCAATTTAGAGCTCGGCGAAATCAATCGGGCTAACATGCTTTCCTATAATGCATCATATTATCAGGTATGTATTTAAAAAAGACCCTCTCAGAATACTTAAAACCTCCTTCAAACTAGCACCTTTACATTTCGGCTGGTTTGATTTTCATAACTAGTCTCTCCTTCTACATTTTCTCGAATCTCACTCGAATCTTAGAAGGTAGTGCGGATCTTTTTGTTATTCAATATGTACTTCATCACATCTATTACTAAATCTATATATGAATGTGCAGTTAACTTGTGTTTCTTTGGTACAATCTTCTGAAAGAAGTACAATGTGTCTTTATGTCTGCAAAAATAACTTTGTATACATTTTCGTTGGGCACTGTTGATAAAACTGCATTTGCGTCATTACAATTATGCGGCGAGCCATCCGCTGATTGTACATGTTATATTTGTTATTATGATATTATTTATAGCTTTATAGATTTAACGCTACATTATTTACAGCTTTATAGATTTATCGCTACATTATTTACAGCTTTATAGATTTATCGCTACATTATTTATAGCTTTACAGATTTATCGCTACATTATTTACAGCTTTACAGATTTATCGCTACATTATTTACAGCTTTATAGATTTATCGCTACATTATTTATAGCTTTACAGATTTATCGCTACATTATTTACAGCTTTATAGATTTATCGCTACATTATTTATAGCTTTATAGATTTATCGCTACATTATTTACAGCTTTATATATTTATCGCTACATTATTTACAGCTTTACAGATTCATCGCTACATTATTTACAGCTTTACAGATTTATCGCTACATTAGTTATAACTTTACAGATTTATCGCTACATTATCTATAACTTTACTGATTTTTCGCTATATCCTTTATAACTTTACATATTTATCGCTACATTATTTATAGCTTTACAGATTTATCGCTACATTATTTACAGCTTTATAGATTTATCGCTACATTATTTACAGCTTTATAGATTTATCGCTACATTATTTATAGCTTTACAGATTTATCGCTACATTATTTACAGCTTTACAGATTTATCGCTACATTATTTACAGCTTTACAGATTTATCGCTACATTATTTACAGCTTTACAGATTTATCGCTACATTATCTATAACTTTACTGATTTTTCGCTACATTAGTTATAACTTTACATATTTATCGCTACATTATTTACAGCTTTATATATTTATATACAGCTACATTATTTAAGCTTTATAGATTTATTACAGCTTTACAGATTTATCGCTACATTATTTACAGCTTTACAGATTTATCGCTACATTAGTTATAACTTTACAGATTTATCGCTATATCATTGATAGGTTCAAAGATTTATCGCCACCTTATTTATAACTTTAAATATTTAACGCTATGATATTTAAAGCATTACGGATTTATTGCTAGATAATCTATAGCTTTGGAGATTATCGCTATATCATTTATAACTTTACAGATTGATCGCTATATTATGTAAAGCATTTCAGATTTGTTGCTAGATAATCTATAACTTCGGAGATTATCGCTATATCATTTATAACTTTACATATCTATCGCTACATTATTTATAGCTTTACAGATTTTTCGCTTTAGTATTTCGTCAATTAAAACTAAATAGATACTAAAGATTATTGTTGAAGATTCTACACAATATACATCAGTATAAGTATCTGTCTATACCTTATTCTGCAATACGTATCGCACAATATTATCAAATGTGAAAATGAAATTGTATCATTACTCCCACCGGACTAGTTTATTACATTTAAATACGTCTGTACTGTTTGGTAATTTCTTCGTTCCTTACCTATTCGGGGGAGAACGAGTTTGATTACTCTGCCAGCAATGAGAAGCCTCGGAGATGAACATAAGTGTGATAGAAATACAAGTATTGAGAACTGATTCCAGTAAGCATTCATATGGCCCATGATTACAGGAAAACTTTACACAGAGCGCAATTACAAAAAATCTGAGTGTAAGAGTCAACAAATGCACAAGTTGCGGGTAATCTATATATTTTGAAAAGTGTATTTTAGAATGGAATAGACATCAGATAACAGAATAAAGATACCTTGAGTTGAAGAAAAAGTCAGATGTACTTGTGCGATGTGCTCAAGTAACCGGCATAGAGGCGTGGTATATGGTATATAACAGCCATAGTGCTCATGGTATATGGTTAAGTTTGTATAACCGGGGACCAGACATGATATTCCTGGTACATGGTTAAGTTTGTATAACCGGGGACCAGACATGCTATTCCTGGTACATGGTTAAGTTTGTATAACCGGGGACCAGACATGATATACCTGGTATAAGGTTAAATTTGTATAACCGGAGACCAGACATGATATCCTGGTATAAGGTTAAGTTTGTATAACCGGAGACCAGACATGATATTCCAGGTATATGGTTAAGTTTGTATAACCGAGGACCAGACATGATATTCCAGGTATATGGTTAAGTTTGTATAACCGGGGACCAGACGTGATATACCTGGTATAAGGTTAAATTTGTATAACCGGAGACCAGACATGATATCCTGGTATAAGGTTAAGTTTGTATAACCGAGGACCAGACATGATATTCCAGGTATATGGTTAAGTTTGTATAACCGAGGACCAGACATGATATTCCAGGTATATGGTTAAGTTTGTATAACCGAGGACCAGATATGATATACCTGGTATAAGGTTAAGTTTCTATAACCGGGGACCAGACATGTATAATGGGGAACCAGACATGGTATTCCAGGTATATGGTTAAGTTTGTATAACCGAGGACCAGATATGATATACCTGGTATAAGGTTAAGTTTCTATAATCGGGGACCAGACATGGTATTCCAGGTATATGGTTAAGTTTGTATAACCGGGGACCAGACATGATATTCCAGGTATAAGGTTAAGTTTCTATAACCGGGGACCAGACATGTATAATCGGGGACCAGACATGGTATTCCAGGTATATGGTTAACTTTGTATGTACCCGGGAGAGTTACTGATTTGACACATTTCGTGCGTTTAGGCGATAGTCTTCGTGTATACAGATAGATGATGCTTTACTCACGGTCATATATGTTATAATTATTTTTATTATCGTGTCGTCTTTCTTCCATCTTTTCGGCCAGTATTTGAAATATTTTGTACTAATTAGAAAGTTCAATAAGGCAATTATTGCGATCTGCCTACCAGTATATAATACTACATGATAGATTGGTTATCTTAGAGAAAACGATCCGCCATCTATTATTATCACTAATCTTTATTCTCCTCTGCGGGGATTAGGTTACAATAAGTATGATAAAAACACTATAGAATTAAACTTAATAATGATAGATAGATAATCATAGACTGAGTCAGTTTAGTGGAATCCTGCCTGGTAGCGTCTCGATTCATGACGTCATATTAACAGAATAGGTAAACATGAGGTGTTTGTCTTAGGAACATCACATACTGAAGATGGTGTGATTTTGCACGTGCAGGATATCCGCACCAAGTACGGTTCTGAGAAATTCTTCATTTGTCATAGATACATTCAATTCTAAATTTCCCCGGCACTTCAATCAGGCGCCATTTCATCATATTGCAGTGTGACATCACTCAGTTCAGGATGACAGAGGTGACATTGTGATGGTGTGATGAATTTATTGACAGAATGTACGCTTTTGTTCTGTTTAACGTTCGTTGGTATCTAGATGAGTTATAATATCAGATCTCTTTCATCAGACACTTAAACTGGAGGTCACAGTTATTGTTTCTTATCTAAACATTTTTTCGTGTCGGCCATGGCCACACCTTGGGCATGCAGACCGAAATATGTGACAACACTGACACAAAACGGTAATGATCCAAAGAAAGCGCCTGGTATCTCTTCATGATAGATTATCCGGGTTGGCATTAAGTCTACGACAACGGGGAAGAAATGATTGAATAGACGATAGTCAGGGAGAATTAGTTTAAAGACGACGGTATGAGAAGAGATGTGTCCTCCCCAGGTAATTGGACAGGTAAGGTTGTAAGAAGATCCGAGTTTAGATAACAAGAATAGTTTCCTAACTGACTCAAGACGATCTTGACTTTTTGTCTCCTTGGATACCGATGTTTGATTTGATGATATAAAGTTCTAAAGCAATCGTGTTAGGTTAATATACAACTGAAGACAATGTA